AGGAGGAGGAGGAGGAGGAAAATAATGACTGTGAGGTCCTTCGTGCTTTCTGAGCTTGGTGGTTTTCTTGCAGACGTCACATGACCCAACTAGGGAACATCCTCAGTGCTGGTCTGCAAGAAAACCACCAACCTCAATACCAAGGACACTACAGTCCTCCTCCTCCTCCTCTTCCTCCTCCCCCCTCACAACCCCTCCCCTCTTTCCGCACTGATGATGTTACTTAGTGGTGTAATGACACCTCTGCAAGGAAACTGTGCCAAGGACCCCGCCATTCCTTCTCCTCCTCCCCTTCCCTCCTCCCAAACCCCCACTCCCTTCCAACACTGATGGTGTTAGCTAGTTGAGTAATGAAACGTCTGCGAGGAAACCACCAAGCTCAGAGAGCATCAAGGACCCCACAGTCGTCCTCTTCCTCCTCCCCACCACAAACCCCGCTCCCTTCCAATACTGATGACGTTATCTACTTGGCTAATAAACGTCTGCAAGAAAACCACCAGGGATCCCACAGTTCAGCCCCCCCGTGCTATAAATATTCTCTTTTAAAATCTAGGTGGCTGCAGCTTAAATTTTTCTTTAGGTAGCATTGCGAAACCCCCGGTGAAAAGAGGATTGTTCTCACGGTTCTTATTTTTCTTACCTTTAGCCACCTGTGCACGACGGCCCGGTTCCCCGGAGTTGAAGGATGACTCTGGGATCCAGCCGTCGTGCCAGAGGCTCGCAAAAAAAAAAAAAAAAAGGCACTGATTCGAATCTCTGTTTGCAGCTTTAACGTCTGTCCCCAGAACTGCTCTGGCAGAGGGGAATGCCGGCCTGTGAACGGCAGCCAAGCAGTGGAATGTGAGTGTTGGGAACACTGGAAAGGAGAGGCCTGTGATATCCCCAACTGCCCGGAAGACTGTGGCTTTTCGGAAAGGGGTCAGTGCAGCGTGAACGGAACTCAGGGCTGCGTCTGTTACCCCGGTTGGCAAGGTAGGTACAAAAGAAAACACGCACACACACACACACACACACACACACACACACACACTGATTTGCACTTCTGGGCATTGGATGCCCCGAGAGGCTTCAAACGGCATTTGCCTCGCTTTTCTAACCAACTATTTATACTTCCATCGCAGCTGTTGTAGGACAGGGGTGTCAAACTCGATTTCACTGAGGGCCGCATCAAGGGTTGCGTTTGACCTCGGGGATGCGGGGGGTGGGGGGGCAGGGTGGGTGTGGTCAGCTCGATGTCACTCGTGTTGGGGACGCCTGTGGCAACACCAAGCCTTTTTGGCAGCAAAAATGTGCTCCCAAGCTCCGTTTTCAGCTGCGACCGCTTCTGTTGTCGTTCGCCGGCAGTCTGTGCAGCCGGCAGCAGAATCGGACAGTGGGGAAGAACGGGGACCAGTCTGAGAGTCTGGAGAGGACTCGGACGAGGGTCCTGCATCCGATGCAGAGATGGGGCCAGGACCATCTGGGAGTGGGGTGCTGCCTTCGGAGCCTCCGGAGTCTGGCAGCAGCGAGGAAGAGGAACCAGGGGAGCCTGTTCCCAGTGCGCGTGTGCGCAGAGCTGCTAGAAGGCGAGAGCCAGCTGAGACAAAAGGGGAAACTTGGGAGTAAGTCTGGGAGGTGATGGCTCCTCCCCTAAGGGATAAAAGTCAGGCCAAGATGACGAAACCTTTGCAGGAAGCAAAGTCATTCGTTCGCTTCAGATTTATTCTAGAAGCTCTTTGTACTTCATTTAGTTTTTTTTTTCTAGTTCATTTGATACTTCCATTATTGGCAGCCCTTCACAGAAAAGAAAGGTGGGTGCTGATCTCGAGGGACTGTTTTGAGATTCATTACCGCTTGGAATGAAAAACAATTCCCAGCGTTGCAATAAAATAAGACTTGTTTTTAAAATAAACCTACGCGTAATTACCGTCTACGACGTCTTGGTCAAGTCTTGGCCGGCAAGACCTGGAAGGCTTCCCTGAAGGCCTCTGTAGCTGAGAACAAAGCTCAGGATCGATCCAGAGCTCTTGTTATCCTCTCCAGAGGCCTTCAGGAAAGCCTTGCCGGCTGCAGAAGAAGAAGCTCCTGAAGGCCTCTGACAGCGAAAAGGAGGCCAGGGGGCGATGCATGCAAGAGAGGTTAATCAGTGGATGGCATCCCCCGAAAATAAGACCTGGTGCCTCTTTTGGTGGCCAAAAAAAAAATACAAGACAGGATCTTATTTTCAGGGAAACACAGTACGAAAATATAAAAAGAGAAACAAGAACAAGAAAGATGCTGTGAAGGTTGCGAATGCACGCCTTGGTCAGCAAATTATTTTTCCCAGCACGGTTAACATTTTGATGGTTGCATGAGGCGGTGGGCAACAGAGCTCTTCCTGTATTGGCACGTGTGATCGTTTGAACCCGTGTCCAGCTCTTGTTTAAAACTATTCCCCGACTGCCATCATTCTATCTGGTTGTTGTTGTTTTTTGAAAAAGTTTTTATTTTTTTAAAACAAACATATACAAACAAAACACAAAAGCATAAAAAAAACCTCTTCCATCGTACATACATACAGTGTGTCAGTTGGTTACAAACCTTTTGTGCTATCCTTTAGTAGTCCTTTCTCAATTTATATAAATTTCCACATTGTCAAGCTAACATATGCATATATGCTTATCACTTATTTATTAATCATCTGTGACCAAACTATTTATTCTATCACTTTATATGAGATAGTTCAAATTTTATTTTCAAATGTATGTTGGTTGGACAAAAAGACATGGTAATGTAATAGATTGGTTGATTTTGTAATCGGTTTAATAGATAGGTATAAAATATAATAAAGACATATATGACCATTGGATGAAAGGATAACATTTTATCTGTTTTTTAACAGTTTACTAAAAGTTACTTCTGTGAGCTGGCAAGGTATAGGTCTGTGGTGACGAATCTATTGCAGGTGTGCCACAAATCGCACGCAGAACCATTTCTGCGGGTACGCGAGCCCCAGCCAAACTTACCTGTACTGCGCGTGTGCGTGCCCCTCCCAACTGATTTTTGGCCTGTTTGAGGCCGTTTTCGCCCTCCCGGAGGCTCGAGGGAAGCCTCTGCAGCCTTGGGAGGCTGAAAAACGGGCCTTCCGGAAATACCAGAATTGCCAAAACGGGCCCATTTTTTGCCCTTCCAAGGCTGCAGAGGCTTCCCTCGAGCCTCCGGGAGGCCAAAAACGGCCTCAAACAAGCTGAAACCTGCACAGTGCAGGGTAGGGGGGCGGGGTGGGGGTTTTGTGCGTGCATGCACGGGGGTGGGTGGGGCGCATTGCATTGTGAGTGCCGGCAAGCTCACGCTTTTGGCACACCACAACAAAAAAAGGTTCACCATCACCGGTGTAGGTAGTCCTCAACTTACAACAGTTGTTTTTGTGACTGTTTGAAGCAACAGGGGCACTGAAAAAAAAAAAAACATCCCTTATGACCAGTTTTCACACTTGCGACGGTTGTAGAAACCCTGTGGTCATACGATTCAAAATCCAGACTCTTGGCAACTGACTCATATTTGTGACGGTTGCATTGTCCCCGAGGTCACACGATCTCGATTGGCAACCTTCTAACCAACAAAACTAAAATCGGGAAGTCTGATTCACTTAACAACCGTGTTGCTAACTGAACAGCTCCAGATTCACTTAACAACCGGGGGCGTAAAATGGATCAAAACTCATTTAACAGCTGAAATTTGGGGCTCGCTTGTAGTCGTAAGTCAAGGACTATCTGTACAGTGCTTCATTAAGTTACCCGAGGTTGTAACGGACAGCGTGTTTTGCTCCCCGTAGGCGTCGACTGCTCAATTCCCGTTCCAGCCAATCGCTCCTTTTGGACCCGGGAGGAATTCTATATCCCCAAACTCCCACGAGCGTCTCACAAAGCCGTCGTGCAAGGCAAGCTCATGTGGGTGATCGGTGGCTACATGTTCAACCACACGGACTCTCAGATGGTCTTGGCGTGAGTAATGGGACTTTTCTTCCGGATAGATGTTAAAGCGGGGAACGAAATGTAAATTTCTGCAGATTAAATCCAGCAAGGTCTCTACACTAGAAATAGGTGTGATGACCCAAAGGGGCGTGGCAAAAAGGCAACCCAGTCAGATAATCCATAGGAGTCCCTTTATTATCTCCAACTTTGCCCCCAATGTCCTGGTTACCTTCTGGGCTGGAGAAAAACGCTCCCAGGAACAGCCTTGGGCTGCAGAGAATCCAGTCCAAAACGTGGTCAACAAAAACTGTAACTATAAGTTTAATCAAAGCAGAATGAGGTCATTAGTCCAGCAGGGCAGGGGAAGGAATTCCAGATGTGAAGGAACGGGAATAACTGAACACGGTTGGGAGGATGCTAGGAACACAGATAAGCAAAGTCAACACAAGATAAACTCATATTTGTTCCCAGCAGCTGCTGCTCTCAGCGTGCATTTTTAAACTCTCTTCCCAGGTGTGCTTAATGAAGGGAATCAGGGCCCATTCCTCCCCCGTAAGCCATGCAACCCATGTTTCTCCCTTCTCCGTTCTTCCCTGCGTGCCCTAGGATGAAGAGGGGGGTGGGTCTGGGTCTTCCTCTGAACTCCTTCTCCCTTGTTCTCCCTCTTCCCTGCTCTGCCCAGCTGGACTTTGCCCTTCCCCAGTTTCCTCCCCAGCCAACGGAGCCACACTCCCGCTCCCTGTCGGCTGTTCGTCTTCCTCCTTGGACAGGAGCGTGTCAATAGGCTTTTGATCGTAGTGTGACTTTCTAACACCTTTGAGAAGACTTAAGCTCGTAAAAGCTAGACAGGTCAAGAATTCTTGGTGTTTCAGAGGCACGTGAGCCGTAGCGGCGCAGTGGTTAAAGTGCAGTATTGCAGGCTAACTCCGCCCACTGCCAGCCGTTCGATCCTGATTGACTTAATCTTGATTGAGTCTTCCGTCCTTCTGAGTTTGGTAAAATGAGGACCCAGATAGTTGGGGATAAGAGGCTGACTCTGTAAACCACTTAGAGAGGACTGTAAAACACGGTGAAGCGGTATATAAGTCTAAGGACTATTGCTATG